AGCAAAATTAGAATTAGAGGAAGAGACAGGTAACTCCTCAGCTGGAAGTCTTACCACCCTAGTCTCAACAACGGAGAAAAACTATACCTACAAATCAATAACGTCAGTCGATGCCAACAACACCCTAAACCACAATGCCCTGACACTTAAAGAATACCATGCCCTAAGTGCCAAGTAGACAGGGTCAAGTGCGCTATGGCCAGTTCACCAGTGTACACCACACATTGCTCCACAGAGCCAGCCTCAACCAAACACACAGGCATTGATTGGAGCCTCTCACTTTTCTCTGGCCACAGTAGGGAGCAGATGAGGCATAGCTGCACCCTGAAGGCGTGGGAGGGAGAAGAACTGGTTCCCAGAGGGGTTGAACATCAGGAGTGAGGGGTGATAATCTGGCTCCTCACCTTCCCTGGGTTTGCCAGAAGGAAGGAACCCTGTCTTGAGACTGTCAGACCGGCTGGGGCAGTGACTAAGAAGAGAACAGTGCCCCGGGGCTTCCTGTTTTACCCCTTCATCTGTAAGTGGACACAACTCGTCCTTCCTGCTCCGGCCACAGAAGATTATCTGGCTCAGTGCGCGGAGCGTGGCCACGACAAGGTGAGCTGCTTGGATTGGGGTCTGATTCAGGGAAGCGGGACACGGCACAGTGAGGGAAGACTGTGTCAAAGAAGCCAGGACCAGGGCAGGCCAGACTGGGGTACTGCCCATTCCACTCAGGCCAGAGTCCCAGCCTTTGTTCCAGCCGCAGGTGGCCCAGGAAACAGTGAAGAGCCCCAAGACATGGCTAGAGCCACAGAGGCACCTGTTCGCCTGTTCTTTGTCCAGGGCTAGCCAAGGGGGCAGGCAGCAGGCTAGGCAGCAGCTGGAAGCATAGCCAGACCACGGCCATAGCCAAGGGCTGCCAAACTGGCCCCATAAGGCTTCCTGAGTTGAAGCCCTGAAGGGGTTCAGCTCTCCCAGGAAGCCAGTCATCCCAACTCCTAGTCTCAGGGTCTCTGTTCTCCTGAGAGCTATAACCAGTGGGGTGGGCAGTGTTATAGAGTGGGCAGTTGGCCTGAGGCCGGGATGCTGTCCCCTCCTTAAGGATCCAGGGCCTTGCCCCTTTGCTTTCTTACAAAGAAAACAAAGCCAAGAGCAAGGTGGGGATCAGGATTTGCAGGTGGGTGTGGGCCCTAAGGGAGCAGTTTCATGGAAGGCAGTGGGAGAAAGGCCATGCCTAGTGTGGTTAAGGATGTGGAGAAAAAGGTATGAGGTGGGGGGTGTGAGGGAAAGGGGTAGATGGGGGAGGGCAGCCAGACCACTTGAATTGGGGATTCTGCCAACACACAGTTAGTTACCAGCTTGTAACCACGGCCACCTCCCCAAGATTGGTTTTTCTCATCTGTAAAATGGGAAGCACAGGAAACAGAATCGATCTCATGACATCGTGGTCAGGGCTATGTGGGGCTTTGGCAATCAGTAATGTTAAACCTATATGAAGGGACCTTGCCTGCCCTAGACTTCTGACTCAGAGAAGTGCAGGGTACCCTGGCAGCCCACCCCCACTGGGAACTTCCCCAATGGCTTTACAACTGGGCAATCCCCGCAGCGCTCTAGATCAGGGGTTATGGGGAGGTTGTGTGCCTCTGAAGGCCCATTGTTCTTCTCCTCTGAGCTGGGAAAGATGTGCTTTCCCCTGTCCCTCCTCTTGGCACCCAAATCTGCAAGCTCAGGGGCAGACCTCAGAGAAGCCACAACAGCCTGCCTCACCCCTGCCAGTCCCACGAGGGGCTCTCAGTGCCCGGGCAATGGTCCCCTGCTGCCTCCCCTCCTCCTTCCCCAGTCCCCTGCCTGTTCACATAGCAGAAAGCTGTGGCCCAGAGACAGGAAGTGACTCCCACCATGTGCTGCTGAGAGACGTGGCACATCCTGTGCCCAGCATGTTGAGTGCAGGCTCCCAGGCACAAGGACATGGCCAGGCTTGGACCCAGCGATCCATGGCCACATGACACAGCAGAGGAGTAGAGCAGACACACAAACCAGGTGGTGATAGCTGTTTTTTTTTTTCCCCAGATGAGCTTCATATCCCAGGTAACTGCAGCAGAAGTCTTCGGTCCTGTCTCAGCTCCTCTCCCAGGAAGGGCTCCCAATGGCCTCAGCTGGGACCAGGCCAGTCCACCGTCTGTCCATCCACTGCTGTCACTCTGCTTGGGAATGGGAAGAAGGAGAACCAGGACTGCCCACACTCTCCCTGTCTGGTGGATGGTAGCACACCATGACCAAAGGCCAAAGGGTGGTACTGTGACTCACTCCCACCTGCGACCTGCTGGGGTCCAGAAGGTCAAAGGGGGAGGCTTGAGTCCAGGGCGAGCCATCATTAGAAATTTCATTAGAATTTCCCAGGAAGCCTGGGCATATGAGGCATTCCATTCTAAAAGGTGGAAAGCCAGAGGTCTCTTGCGTCCTCCAGGGCTCCTAGTTTGAGAAAAGGAGCCGCACCCAGGATGCTGTGAGCGGAACTCAAGAAGGAGAAGCAAGGCCCATAGCAAGCCCGTCCCCCCATAACTTCCCCCCACAGCTGACCTTCTGCAGTGTGGCTTGGGCAGCCCTGCCCCTCGTCCGTTGCATGTAGCTCTTACCCACCCAGGTCCTGTCTGCCAGAGTCAGCCGCTTCCCTTGCCACTTCCCCAGTGCACCTGTCTCTTCCCAAGAAGTGAAGGAGGGAGGGGACTGGTGTGAGGCACGGAGGATATGGGCTCGCATCAGCCAAGTGCACTCTGGGAGGAACTAGCATAACCTCCTGCAAACCTGTGTCTGCACCTTGAAAATGGGGCTGTGGCATTCCTCTTGTGCTAACACCAATGGTCAAGGGACCATCTGCTCGGCTTGCTGGGCTTGGGCGGGGAGCCCTGTCCCAGGTCCAGATCTCACTCAGGCTTTCCTGTCCTTTCAGATCTCCTGCTCAACCCAGGTACCTGCCGTGGCCCACAGCAACCTGCTGCTGCCTCCAGGAGTGGCAAGAAGGGAGACAGTTGGGGAAGGAGATCCAACAGCAGGGGGCGCCAGGAGGAGCGAGAAGACAAGGCTGGGGATGGGAGGTGGGGAGGTCCCGGTGACTGGGGATGCTCTCAGGGGTGTCTTAGGGCAGCGGTGTATGAACAAGTAATGTCCAGGTCTCTGGAGTCCCTCAGAACAAGGCGGCAGGTAGGAGGCCCCGGATGCAACTTGTATGACCAACAAAAGGCCCCAACCGCCCTTTCCCACAGCACATGCAAATGCCCCGTGGTCTGATTCCCCTCTCCTCCAAGACCGTGACCGGGGCCATCAGCACCATTCAGTTCTTCCTCTCCGAAGCTTACATGGGCCAGCACTTTGAGACTGTGGAGTTGAGCGACACTGAACCCGAGCCTGGAGACCTCTTCCTGTTCAAGATGACATCCCCCTTGCAACGCTTGTGGTGCGGGGCCCACGTGGGAGTGTACTGCGGCGGCGGGGAGATCATCCACTTCGAGGGTGAGGACTGCCGTTTGAAAAATCAGGCCCAATTGCACCAGGGAAGGTTGGCCGGCCTTGTATCCCTCCTCCCCCGCAAATGGACTGCTGTCCCAGGCTGTGAAGTTGCATGAGTGCTAGGTGGGGCCTCTAGGTGGGAGGAAAGGGCGGCTGCAGGGCGGGGGGTTGTGGGGGTGTGGTGGTGGTGGTGGTAGCACAGCGCTTAAACCTGCCTCTGCTTTGCCCCCTGGTTGATGCCATCCCCACAGGCCGGAATTCCAGCGGCTGCGGGTCAGATTCGCTGCTGCGCACTTGGGAAGGCGTGGTGTGCAAGCAGGGCCGGCGTTCTCTACAGCGCTCGCGCTTGCTCTGGCGCGTGCTGCGGCGCCGCGGCGGCGTGGACCGCGCAATGCTGGAGCGCCGCATCCGCCAGGCCATGGACAACGACCCGCCTGTCTACCACGCGACGCGCAGCAACTGCGTGCACTTTGCTCTGAGCCTGCTGCACCCGGAAGGAGACCCCAGCAGCTTGGTGAGCTCCAACTTTCCCCTCCACCGCACTCCTGTCTAGGTCAGGGCCTCCGCTCTCCACCTGCGTCCAAACTTAAGACAAACTTCATATCGGCAGGCTCCAAAGCCCCAGACCAAACAGGTGTATCAGCTGGAGGCTCCATCCCTAAGAAACCCTCTCCCTATCCACTCCAGCAAAGAGTCAAGCCGCACATCGTGACTTCAACCAACCAGCCTCCCAGCCCACGAGCTCCTCTTTCCCTAGCCCATTCCTTCTTCCTGAACCAAGCACCCCTCCCCCCACCATCCCCCTTTTTGGGCCCTATGCAGTTCCACTGTTCTGGCCTTTGAATATTTGGGATCTCCTGTTATCAGATGAGCTGTTCTTTTTATAACAGCTCAGTGCTTAAGGAACTCTACCAAACCCAGTTCCGAGACTACCCCATCCCACCTCAAGCTGCTGCCCCAAACTCTCTGGTCCAGCTAGATGCATCGACGTGGGCCAGGTTCATTTTTTTCCCTCTGACCCCAGAGGCATCGTCTTTATGACCAGGAGTCTTGGTGGTCACAAGAAGCCCCTAACCCAGCCTTTTCATTTCCTCCATAGAACGTGGACGTGGACCTAACCGTGGACGAGGCGTGACCTTGGACCCTCCAGGATGGCACGGGGGCCTCAGCAGGGGGCCATTAAAGTATTTTCCAAAGCTCAGTTACGATTTCTCGGTCTTGTGTGCCCCGCCCCCTCCTCTCTGCCCGCAGCCTTACCCACCCTGAGTCTTGGCAAGGGCGCGAGGTCCCTTTAAAGGGCAGGAGCTGTCCTCCGGGGAGAGGGGATCTCCGTGGGGTCTGGGCGGGGCCGGCGCGGCTGCCCTCTCCGCCCTCTCCGCTCGCCGGTGCCGGTGCCTTTAAGAGCCTGTGTGCGCGGCCCTGATTGATGCGCCCGCGCGCAGCCAGCGCCGCCGTTCACAGCGTCTGCGGAGCGCGCGTCCCCCTCGTACCCCCAACCCCGGCCGCCTTCCTCCGCCCCGGCCGGAGCCCGGCCGCGCAGCCTCCTCCTCCAGCCCGGCGAAGCCCGAGGTCCCCCGGCCTCGCCATGTCGGCCGCTCCCGCATACAGCGAGGACAAGGGCGGCTCCGCCGGCCCCGGGGAGCCTGAATACGGCCACGACCCGGCGAGCGGTGGCATCTTCTCCTCGGACTACAAGCGGTGAGGCTCGGGGCGCGCGGAGGGCCGGGTCCGGGCGAGCGCGCGGGCACCATGGACAGCGCCAGGGCTGCCGGGCCGCGCGCGGGCCCCGCCCCGGTGCCAGCCTGCCGGCTGGCCGCCCAGCCACCTCGCTGCAGCCTGGGAGCCGCTGCCCGTGCGCAGGGGCAGGCCTGGCGGCGGGGGATGGGCCAGCTTGCTTCCTCTCTGCTGTTCCTGCTGCGGGCCGCTGCCCTACCGCGTTTCCCACGGTTTTCTGTACTGAGAGGGTGGGCTCCATTTTCTTCTTCCTTTTTTTTCCCCCCCTAAGTCGGGGAAGGAGATATAGGCTGGCAAACAAGAGTTTGAACCTGGAGTCGCTTCAAAATCCTTTCCTCTGGATCTCCCAGCTGACACACTCCTGCTTTGCACATTGACCTTGTATTTCAATTCCTCCCCTGTGCCTGCCTCTGGCTAGTTTGTTTTGGTTTGTTTGTAAGTAAATTCAGTGACCGACCAGCAGTTACTAAAGGCCTATCTTGTGCCTTCCTGTACTGGTCACGTTGCAGCTCTGACCCCCCTTGTTTTCGGTTGCACAGTGGGGGGGGGGTTGCTTTTGTGGGGCAGGATGGGTCTGTGAGGGGCTTTGCAGGCATGGGAAGGCGAGGCGGGCCAGCTGCTTCGTTGGTGCTGGAACAGTGTGGTCAGAATCACCGTGGGAGCCATTGCTGTGACCGAAAGGAAGGTGGGGAGGATCCCAAGCTGGTGCCACCACCAGATAGGTGGTTTTAGGAAGATTAGAGGCTGGAATGGCAGGGAAGGGATTGGAGGTGAGATGGGAGGGGGCCGAGGTGACGTTGAGAGGCAGGGCACAGTGGGCGTGGCCTGGGCTCCCCCAGGGGAAGCGAGCTTAGGGCTGTGGAGCAGGGGGAGCCCACAGACCTGCTGACTGGTCCCCAGCTTCAGCTGCACTGAGCTTGTAGCCCTCTGAGAAATGCACAAGTCTGGTGGGCAGATGGCTGATAGGAGATGCCTTAGAGGCTTGTTGCTATCCACGTGTTACTTAAAACCACAGATGGAAGTGGAGCTAACCCAGGGAGGGTGCATAAAGGGGGTTCAGACAGGGCACAGGCCTGAACCCAAAGAATAACAACAGTCGGGGTGACCATCCAGAGACCAAGGGGAAAAGGTTTCCGGTATCCAAGTGAAGCTATGGGCAGGCAGAACAGAAGGTGGGATTTCAGGAATGGGGGAGGGGGTTCAGTGTGCACCAAGGTCAAGTCAAGCAAGGGAAGAAGCTGGAGACTGTTGTTTGAGAAAGAAGAGGTCAGCTTTTTCTCACTCTGTCCCCCATCTCCAGCCCTGGGAGCCAGATCAGGAGCTAGATTGTCACCCCTATTCTATTTATCACTTTTCCACATCCAGAAGAGGTGAAGAAATAATGCATGCGTGTCATTGGGCCTTTGTCAGTGTGTTACGGTGTCTGCCTCATCCTTAGCCATACCTTCCCTCCCCATCCATCAGCCAGCAGCATCTAGAACCAGAGCAAATGGGAAGTGACACCTCAGACAGGACACTGGGCTTTTAAGTAGTTTGATTGTCAAGGGGAAAAGAGAGAGAGAGTTGCTGGAGGCAACTCTGGTTCCAAGAGGTTTGTCTATCTTTTTGTTGCTATTTTTATGTGTGTGTTATTAGGGTGGGAGGAACCTCTGGCAAGCAGGAAGGAGGGTGGGGGGAGGGTCAATAGAAGAAGCTCAGATCTCAGCAGGGATGGAGGGATGCCTGCGGGGCTGGGGGTCAGGAGCTGCCAGGGTTGGGTGCTGGGAGGAACAGACGGCTCTGCCGGAGGGTGAAGGTGCAGGTGTGTTAAGTCTGGGACATGGAGCTACAGGGGATTTTACGTGGAGTCTGGTTTGCTGTGAGAAGCAGGTCAGAGGAACAAGAGCTAGATGGTGAGTGGGTGGGAACCTGTGGGTGCAGCGGCTTAAGTTGTCATGGTGGGTGAAGTTGAGCAGTGCTGGCAGGCAGAGGGGAAGTGGACAGTGGGTGGGGGTGCCAAGGGCATGGTGGGGAGGAAATAGAGATGGAAGAAGACAGAGAGGGAGGTAGGAAGCCAGTCCCGGCCCTGCCCAGGCGAGGCTGGAGCCCGAGGCTGAGGGGTTAGAGAGGAGAAGGGGTGGTGGAGGGTATCGCTCGCCTCTCAGCTCCCTGGCCCCTCTGCCCAGAGACTGGGGTGCGGGGTGGGAGGGCAGGCTTAGTCCACAGGGCACTGGTCTCCTCTTTGTCATTTTAAAATACCCTCGAGGAGGTTCTTGGGTGAGGAATGTTTTTTGTATCAACGTATCAGAGATCACCGTTATGATCAGGTGGAAGCTGCTTGTAATGGGCGTGGAGCGACTAGCACGCTGTAAGCCGGGAGGCCGAGGGCAAACCCTGGGCCACGCTTGGACTCAAGTCGTTCTCCTTGCTCTGATAAGAACCACCCTCCCAGGGTCTCTCGCCGCTGACTGCACCCTTCCCAGCACTCACCTCTCAGACGCCATCCTCAAAGCAAGTTGGCACTCCTGATCCATCAACGCAAAGACAGCAGGATAAACGCCTGCTGGAGTATTGGGGCCACAGTCTTGCCCTACCCTAGACACCTAGGCCCCGCCTCTCTGTCCCTCCTGGGGCCTGGCCTCTGAGCACTGCACAGGGTCCGGTTACTGAGTCTCAAGGGGCGAACCGTGTGGTAGCAGTGACCAGCAGCCGCTGCACCCCAGGCTAGCTCAGTTCCAACCCACAGCACAACCTGCCCTGCCACATGCAGCGACTCCTGCAGCTCCCAGGGGCCTTGGTAAGGCCCGGGGCCAAGGGGGCCAGTGGGCCTGATCAGGAGGCTACCAGTCCTGTGTTGGCCCCTGAAGGTGGCCCCCCGCCCTGGTACCAGGCCCTGCAGCCCGAGGAGCTCCAGTGGCTACAGGCCCCAGAGGAGGAAGCAACTCCAGAAGCTTCTCTGGGAGGACCCAGTCCAGAGGCTGGCCAAGGCCAGAGCCAGAGCCAGCCACTACGGTACAGAGGGACCTGGGGGATGTCAAAGGTGGCCAGGGATGGGCAGCTGCTACTGTCAGCCCACAGCTCACCTGTTGGGTGCAGGGAGATGGGGCTAGCATTTAGGGTCCTGGGATGGGCAGGGGGCACAGCATGGGGGTGAGAGTGTGAAGGGTGCATGAGGAGCCCACCTGCTGGAGGTCCTGGTGGGAGGAGAATAGGAACCTATCTTTAGCAGTCCCACTTTGATCTTCTCCACCCCCCAGGTGTGGCTGTGGTAGGCCCTGGGTGACGTTTGGGAACAGCATGAAGCACAGTTTGGGCAGCCCCTCCCTGGCGGGTGGTGTGGGGGGAAGATGGGGCAGTCTGGCCTCAAAGCCAGGTGCCACCCTGTGGCTGGCCCCAGCCACCGCCAGGAGAGTCCCGGAGGAGGGTTCAGCTCAGTGGAGAGGCGTAAGGGGATCTGCCTGTGCGGCATGAATGTTTCATGGCCTGGGGTGCTGCTGCGCATCTCTCCTGTCCTCTGCCTCTTGGGAGCTGAGCTGATGGGAGCCCAGGCTCTCTTTCCAGGACAGCATGGGACAGTGTTCACAGGGGGCAGTGGTCTCCTCCCTCCCTTCTGCAAGGGCCAGGAGTGATGCACTAGGTTGGGAGTGCGTATTTGACAGGGGTCTGTGGTATTTGGGGCTGTGAGTTAAAGGAGGCGGGGCAAAGTGACCATGGAATCTAGGGAGGTGTCACCCCAGGGAGCCTGCGGGAGGTGGTCAGGGATCTTGGCATCTTGGAATAACATGTGTACCATCCAAAAGTTTCCCGGAGGAGTCCACTGGCCACTTTGGGGGCCTGGTTTTGTCCTAGTGGAGCACATAATGTGCCCTTTGTTCACTTCCTGACCACCAGTCCTAGGACCACTTAGGCATGGCTGGGCAGGTTGTTTACTGTACAGGGACACGTGACCAAAGAATACCTCTCCATTCCCCACTGAATGGGAGGGAACAGCTTGGGACTGTGTCCACCTAGAGGGAGAGAGAGATGGCAGAGGGACTTGCAGTGGCGCTGACACTGAAGGTTGGGCGTGGCCTATTTAAAACTGTCAGAGCAGGGCTAGCTAAGCTGCCACCTGCATTGCCAGCATCCCATATGAGCACTGGTTCAAGTCTGCCTTCCAGAAGAGGGACCGAGTCCTTGGGCCTCTGCACCCACATGGAGACCCGGAAGAAGTTTCTGCTTCTGGCTTAGCCCTGGATCTGTGGCCACCTGGGAGTAAACCAGCGAATGGAACACATTTTCTCTCTCTCTCTCTATTTCCCTCTCTGTAGCTCTGCTTTTCAAATCAGCAAATAAATCTTTGCAAAAATAAATAAATAAATAAATAAGCCTAGCCATTTTGTTAGTTGTAATTTTATGGCCTTAAAAATAATCTAACTGGGTGCGGCGTGATGGTCCTCGCCTTGCATGCCCGGGATCCCATATGGGCGCCAGTTCTAATCACAGCAGCCCTGCTTCCCATCCAGCTCCCTGCCTGTGGCCTGGGAAAGCAGTCGAGGATGGTCCAAAGCTTTGGGACCCTGTACCCACGTGGGAGACCCGGAGGAGGCTTCTGGCTTCGGATCAGCTCAGCTCCGGCCGTTGTGGCTGCTTGGGGAGTGAATCATCGGACGGAAGATCTTCCTCTCTGTCTCTCCTCTCTGTATATCCACCTTTCCAATAAAAATAAATAAATCTTTAAAAAATAATGATAATTAACTATTGGATCTAGTGCAATGGCTCAATTGGCTAATCCTCCCCCTTCAAGTGCAAGCATCCCTTATAGGTGCAGGTTTGTACTCTGGCAGCTCCACTTCCCATCCAGCTCCCTGCTTGTGGTCTGGGAAAGTAGTCGAGGACAGCCCAAAGCCTTGGGACCCTGCACCCGTGTAGGAGACCAGGAAGAAGCTTCTGGCTACTGGATTCGGGTCAGCTCAGCTCTAGCTATTACAGCCATTTGGAGAGTGAACCAGTGGTTGGAAGATCTTTCTCTGTGTCTCTCTTCTTCTCTGTAGATCTGTCTTTCCAATAAAAATAAATAAACCTTTAAAAAACTAATTTACCTGTCAAGCAGCTATGGCATTCACTTTGTTGTGAAATATGAACACAAGTCCAATTTTTTGCTGCATAGCAGTTGCCTTGCCCCAACAACATTGATTCAACCAGGGAAAATGTCTTTGTGAGTTATTTGTTCCTAATGGATAAAGTTTTAATCCTTTGATGATGTGCTCCCTAAGACCATTTAGCCTGTTTTCTACCTGATACCGTATCTGCCATTGTGTTGAATGTCTTACCGTCTAGAAGGCTGCCCAGCATTATTCTCTAACCAAAAATAATTGTGTGGAATTCCTACCTACTGGTTTTTTTCCAAATGAAGTTTTCTGTCATTTCCCAAACTTTGACAAGATACTTCCTTTTAAAATCATTTTTTTTTAATAGAAGTTATTTTATTTGAAAGACAGTGATCTTCCATTCATGTATTCTGTTCCCAAATGGCCATGACAGCCAGGATTTCCATCCAAATTTCCCACATGCTGGCAGCCACATAACCCACTGTGCTACAAGGCCAGCCCCCCTGCCTCGGACATCTGAATGGACCCTGAGTGAAATGCACACCTGAGCCAGTCCTCAGTCAGGTGCAGTGCAGCACCTTACCCCAAGTGTGGCCTCTTTCTCCCAGGAGCACTTGAGTGTCTCCCTGGGTGGCCGGGGACTGTGACGTTTCAGGTCTGGCGTTGGCTGAGGGGCTGTCTGTGGAGTTGCTGGGACTTTGTGGTCCTAGGAACCGGCTTAGTGTGTGAGGTCAGGACCCGGAAGGGCACTTGGTGCAGGACAAGGCATCCTGCTCATGTCCTCAGTCTCCTCCTCGTTGGTCCTTCTCCATGTGCCTGCCCTCCCATCCCAGGCCCTTCCTCTTGGTGTCCTGGCTCTGGATCTGGCCACATCAGTCTATTTCACCCGCTGGGGCTTCTGAGAACTGTTGTGGTTTGCTGTCTCATAGCCCTGGAAGCCAAAAGCAAGAAATGAGGCTGCAGGCAGGGCCATGCTTGCCCTGAAACCTGTAGGGGACTAGCTGTTTGCTCTTTCCTGCTTCTCAGCGGTTTGCTGGCCATCTTCAGCATTATTTAGTGTGTAGGTGCTTCACCCCAACCCTCTGTCCTCCTGAGGCTTTCTCCCCATGTTTCTGCTCATTCAGCAGTCTACACACCCACACTGGTCCAGTGGAGCCAGTGAATCAACTGCACCTGCCACCCTCTGGGTAGAACCCCGCTGTACCATTTTGGGAAGCAGACAGAGTTCAACCCAGATTACTGGCTGGCCCTTATCACTCCTGACACTGTGGTGCACCCCTTTCTCTGGGCTCTGGGCCCTCACCCTTCAGGCCAGGCCCTGCTCTAACCCTTACCACCCAGCCTTATGCCCTCAGCTGAACTCTTGCACCTCCCATTAGACATGACGACCTAAAGGAGATGCTGGACACCAACAAGGACTCCCTCAAGCTGGAGGCCATGAAGCGGATCGTGGCGGTGAGCCTGGGGGACGCCCATGGGGTGGGGCGTGGGTGCCAGGGAGCAGCTCTAATCGGAACCCTGCCTCATCCCTGCTGCCTTCCCAGATGATCGCCCGCGGGAAGAATGCCTCAGACCTGTTCCCTGCTGTGGTGAAGAACGTGGCCTGCAAGAACATAGAGGTGAGCGCTCCCCCAGGCAGGGCTGGGGTCTCACCCGCTCCGGCAGTGTCCCCAAGCCAGGAGAGTGCCAGGCATGTGCCCCCTGCACTGCATGTAGACCCTGGGGAAGGTCTCAGGACTCCCACTGGGAGAACTGGTGCCCCCCCCCAATCCCAGGGCTCCAGCCAGCTGGTGGGGACAGCTCCTGCCCCCTGCAGGGAAAATCCTGTGGAACGCACCTCCTCCCCCTACCCCCAGGTGAAGAAGCTTGTCTATGTGTACCTGGTGCGCTACGCCGAGGAGCAGCAAGACCTGGCTCTGCTGTCCATCTCCACGTTCCAGCGTGGCCTCAAGGTCAGAAGGAGGGAGTTGGGAAGGAGACACACACACACACACACACACACACACACACACACACACACACACACACACACGAGTCAGGAGGGTCCCAGGCAGAGCAGGGGATGTACCTGCTACTCCAGGAGTGGAGGCCAAGGGCCAAGAGGGGACAGGGGAGGCCGGGGGCCCGCAGCAGGGACAGAACACCACAGCCTAGGCAGTGTGTGCAGGATGAAAGCTCACGTGATCTTTGAGGTTGGCAGGGTCCTGAGGGCGTTACAGGGCGAGAGGGGCACGTCCAAGAGGCAGAGCTAAGCTGGCGAGTTTGAAAATGTATTGAAGCTTCCACCCAATGCCTCATTTCCCAAATTTCCATGGCAGCCAGGACTGTTTCGTGGGGTATAAGTGTCTTAACTGCTATGCCAGATGCCTACCCACAAACTGACATTTATCACACATCCATTCCCGGGTTCACCCATCGATCCATTCATTCAGAGTCCTCATGGACCCAATCCCCTCTCCAAAAACAAAAATCTTTATATTTTTGTTTATTTAAAAGGCAGAGCAACAGAGAGAGATCTTCGTCCACTGATTCGCTCCCCAAATGCCTACCACAGCAGGGCTGGGTCAGGACAAGAACCAGGAAATTCATCCAGGTCAGCCACGAGGGTGCCAAGGGCCCAAGCCCTCCAGCTGCCCCAGGGTGTACTTCAGCAGGGATCTGGATGAGAAGCAGAGGTTAGGGATGGCAAAATGTACTCTGATACAGGATGCAGGTGTCCCACATGGCATCTTCACCTGCTGGACCACAACGCCTGCTCCCACACCGCCCATCCCATCCCATCCCACCTGTTTTTTTTTTTTTTTTAAGATTTATTTTATTTTCATTGCAAAGTCAGATATACAGAGAGAAGGAGAGAGAGGAAGATCTTCCATCCGATGATTCACTCCCCAAGTGACCACAGCGGCCAGAGTTTTGCTGATCCCAAGCCAGGAGCCAGGAACCTCCTCCAGGTCTCCCATGCAGGTGCAAGGTCCCAAGGTTTTGGGCCGTTCTCTACTGCTTTCCCAGGCCACAAGCAGGGAGCTGGATGGGAAGTGGAGCTGCCAGGATTAGAACCGGCGACCATTTGGGATCCCAGTGTTTTCAACATGAGGACTTTAGCCACTAGGCCACCGTGCCGGGCCCCCCACTTGTTTTAATACCACACAGTGGGGATACAGCTTCAGTAGGAGCTGAGTTGGGGCGATCCAAGTCACAGCAGGCCACCTCCCCTGACCACAGAGTCCCAGCACTGGAGAACCCCTCAGGCCTCTTCGCTCAGTGAGGGGGGTGTGGGAATGAGACCCCTGGCCAGGCAGCACCCTGGGCAAAAGAGCGCATGAGCAGGACAATGGCCTTGGCATACCTCCCTGCTGGGCACTATGGCTTGCCTGGCCCAGGCTGTCTATAAGGAACAGTGATGATTAGAGCCGTTTAGGTGTGTGTCGGGGGAGAGGGGACTTGCTGAGCAGGGTGAGCTCCACCGGGACAGGAGTTTGCTGTGAAGGAGGATGGTTGGAGCTTGGAGGTGGGGTTCCACAGTCTGCACGAGGGACAGGCACGTGCTGTCCAAACAAAGCCCAGGGTTTCTGCTCTGAGTCAGATGGGCACATCGCACACATCCTAGAGACAGCGGCAGGCCGGTCTCAGCTGCCCCAGTGCATGCAGGGTGTCCATCCCAGAAGCCCTGGCTCAACGTCTGCTGTGGGGAAATGCGATTAGCAGTGGATGGAAATCAAAATCACCCCAGGGGGAGAGTCACTGGGGCCATCCAAGTCCTTTAGGATGGAGTGGTTCTGTGACTCCCTATGCCATCTACACTGTCGAGGGTTCTTGTCTGGAGTTGAGTTCATGGATCCCCATGGAGACCCCATGGAGTCTGCCCAGGTCACATTTTTTTAGCTCTGATGATCAGTTTAAATCCCCTACACTTTCCAAACTTTTCAGTTCAAATCTGTGGGAAAGGGACTATGAGCAGTCCCACTTCTCTCTTCCTGTCTATAGCCATCTTATATAGTCATGCTGGAATGGTGGTCACCCCTGCCCCGGCCAGCACTGGCCAGCAGGAGGGCTTGGCAGTGCTTCTTTGGGGTGGAACACAAAGCATGGTCACTTGTGTATAAAGATCATTCATTCACTCAGCAAATGATAGGAGTGTCCAGTGCCAAAACCATGCCCTCTCAGGCAAGTGTTTATGTCATCTAAACAAAATTAGCCCCATGGGCCTGACACGTTAGCCTAGCGGCTAAAGTCCTCTCCTTGCACGTGCCCTATGGGCGCCGGTTCTAATTCTGGTGATCCCGCTTGCCATCCAGCTCCCTGCTTGTTGCCTGGGGAGGCAATCGAGGATGGCCCAAAGCCTTGGAACCCTGCACCCATGTGGGAGACCTAGAAGAAGCTCCAGGCTCCTGGCTTGGGATTGGCGCAGTTCCAGCCATTGCAGCCGCTCACTTGGGGAGTGATTCATTGGAAGGAAGATCTTCCTCTTTGTCTCTCCTCTTCTCTGTATATCTGACTTTCCAATACGAAAATAAAATAAATCGAAAAAAATTAGCCCCGCGATGCTGGGCAGATGTACATAGCAGTTTGATTTGAGTGGCACTGGAAGGCAGGCAGACTATGGCCCCAAATAGGCTCTCCTCCATTTGTAAGCCAACCAGAGGGCATCTTGCACAGAAAAACTGGGAGCTGGGCAAGATGGTAAAACATTATTCTGGGGGTTGTCCCTGGAGACTTCTTTGATCTGCAATCTGGTGGAAACCCAGTAATCTGTCACAAGCTCCTCACGAATTCGCAATCTGGTCATTCAGTATGGTAATGGGAAGCTGGAAATTGCAAAGGGGAGCTAGTGACTTGGTTAGAAAGGAGGCGAGGGAAGTTTAGTATGGTTACAATTACTCTGGCAGTGCAGACAGCACTCGGCATGCCTGGCTTCTGACTCCAGCTTGCTGCTAATACAGACCACAGGAAGCAGCGGATGTCGGCTTAAGTCACCCACATGGGAGACCTGGAGCGGGCTCCTGGCCCCTGGCTCTGGCCTGGCTCAGTTCTGGCTGTTGCAGGTATTTTGGGGAGTGAACCAGTGGATGGGAACTTGTACACACACACCCTCTTTCTGTGCCTCTCCAGGGCAATAAACCAGACTGAGTGTTGTAGTACAGTAGGTTAAGCTGCTACTTGGGATGGGCAATGCTGTATCAAGGCTACTCTGTTTGCAGCCCAGCGTCCTGCTAACACACCTCGAAAGGCAGCCGATGATGGCCCAAGTTCTGGGGTCCTAGCCACCCACGTGGAAGATCCAGATGGACTTTCTGGTTTCAGACTGGCCTAGCCTGGCTGTTGTAGCAGTTTGAGAAGTAAACCATGGCACAGGAAGATTTTTCTCTCTCTCCTTGTATCACTTTTCCTTGCAAATAGGTAAAATGTGTTTAAAAATGAGTCCCTCGGGTTAAGCTGCCACTTGGTCACTCAAACCAAGGCGATGGGGTTTGAACCCCAGCTGCTCAGGGCTTCCCGTTCACCTTCCTGCTCAGTGCTCCTGGCAGGCAGCAAACAGCAGTACTTGCAGACAATTAGGGAGGGGAGCAATACATGGAAGATCGGCCTCTGGCTTGCAAATAAAATCATTTTTGAAGATCATAGTCCTGGAGGTTTTCAGCCCTAGTAGAATGGTTCCAATAGAAATCTTTTTTTTTTTTTAAGATTTATTTATTTATTGGAAAGTCAGATATACAGAGAGAAGAGACAGTGAGGAAGATCTTCCGTCCAATGATTCATTCCCCAAGTGATCGCAACGGCCAATGCTATGCCAATCCCAAGCCAGGAGCCAGGAACTTCTGGGTATCCCACACATGGATGCAGGGTTCCAAGGCTTTGGGCTGTCCTCGACTGCTTTCCCTGGCCACAAGCAGGGAGATGGATGGCAAGCGGGGCCACCGGAATTAGAACCGGCACCCATATGGGATCCCGGTGTGTTCAAGGCGAGGACCTTAGCCGCTAGGCCACGCCGCCAGGCCCAATAGAAATCTTTAAAGTGACTGCTGTTACAAGAAGGAATACATTGTCCCAATACTTTATGAAGGACTGAGGCCTCTCTTACTGGAGATGACCCATCAGACAAGCTCTAGAGCAAAGACTGGCGCCTGACAGACCTCAGCCACACCAGTTTGCTTCCTGTTTATGTATGTATGTTGTGAGAGGTAGATCTTGAAAGTTCCTGTCTGCTTTATCCTCTGCATGCCCATAGCAGCCAGAGCTGGGCCAGAGCCAGGAGCCAGCTGGTCTCTCACAGTGGTGGCAAGGACTCAGCTGTTTGAGGTATCCCCTGCTGCCTCCCAGGGGCTGCACCAGCAGGAAGTTAGATATCAAGATTAGCTCTTTGACTATTGATTGAGATGTTAGTTAAGATTCTTATATCCTGGGCACAGTGAGGTAGCCTAGTTGTTAGAGTCCTCGCCTTGCATGCTCTGGGAACCCATATGGGTGCCGGTTCTAATCCCGGTGGCCCTGCTTCCCATCCAGCTCCCTGCTTGTGGCCTGGGAAAGCAGTTGAGGATGGTCCAAAGCCTTGGGACCCTGTGCCCATGTCTCCTGGCTCCTAGCTTCGGATTGGCGCAGCACCGGCCATTGTGGTCACTAGGGGGGTGAATCAATGGATGGAGGATCTGTCCCTCTTCCTCTCTATAGATCTGACTTTCCAATAAAATTTTTTAAAAAAATATTAAAGTATATTTTTAAAAAAGATTCTTGCATCCTATTTAAGTGTATCCTGACATTGTAGGTATAGACAGTGGCAGAGAGTCCAGCACCCATAAATATTTTAACAGTCCCATAAATGGCAGAATGATGGATTTGTGACTGTTCATGAAGGACTTTGCATTGATATAATAGAGGGGAAGTCAGTGGGGATGAGGAGGTTGGGGGGGGAGTGGGGAGAGGAAATCTTAGAGCCAATGGAACCATATCATAAAATAATAATAATAATATTAATAATAATAATAAAAGTTCTTGTACCCCACACTGGAGTGCCTGGATTCGCATCCTGGCTGCGACTCCCGATTCTAGTTAATACACACCCTAAGCAACAGCTAGCGATCTTTCAGGCAGTTGGATTCTTGCCACCTGTGCAGGAGACCTGCCTTGCATTCCTGGCTCCTGCCTTTAGCTCCAGCCATTTCAGGCATTTGCAAGGGGAACCAGTCCGTGAGAACTCTGTCTTTCTCTGCCTCTGCTTCTCAAATAAATAAAAATGGAGGGGCAGAGGTCATGGCACAATGTGTGCTTTGGGTGCCCACATCCCATATGGGAGTACCAGTTCAAATCGTGCTACAACACTTTCCATCCAGCTTCCTGCTGATGCAACAGGGAGGTAGCAGATGAAGGCTCAAGAATTGGGATCCTTGCTACTGACGTGGGAGGCCCAGGTTAGAGTTCTGGGCTCCCAGCTTTGCCCTGTCTTCCTAGATGTTTGCAACATCTGGGGAGTGAACAAGCAAATGATCTCTGTGTCTGCCTTTCAAATAGATGAAAATAATTATTTTTAAAAAATGTAAAAAAAGACATAAATTTGATTTTTTTTTTGAAGAAAGTATTTATTTGTTTGACAGAACTAACTTCCACCTGCTGGTTCACTTCCCAAATGTCCACAACAGTTGGGACTGGAGCAGGCCAAAGCCAGGAGCTGAGAACGCCATCCGGGTCTCCCGTGCAGGAACCACTTAGTTGAGCCACTATCGCTGCTTCCCCTGGCCAGATTAACAGGAAGCTGGAGACAGGAGCCAGAGCTGGGGATGGAACGCCTGTTTTCCGATTTGCCATGCAGATATCTCAACTGGTAGGCTAAATGCTGTTCTAAGAAATTAAAAAGAGAGGACCCTGCGCTCAGTGGCTCAAATCCTTGCCTTGGATGCACCAGGATCCCATATGGGCGTTGGTTCTAATGCCCCGCTTCCCATCCAGCTCCCTCCTTGGGAAAGCAAGGAGACCTGGAGGAGGCTCCTGGCTTGGGGTCAGCTCAGTTCCAGCCATTGCAGCTGCTTGGGGAGTGAATCATCGGTCAGAAGATCTTCCTCTCTGTATATCTGACTTTGCAATAAAAATTAATCTTTAAAAGAAAGAGTGATTAAAAAGGGAGAGACAGAACTTCCTGTGACTCTACAAGCATTCCCAACTAAAATACTTTTTAAAATTAAGGAAAAGGGATTTGGTGTTTGAGCTATGAACTGTCTCCAGGCGGTGGGGGAGGGTGGACCAAGTGACTCCTGCTTTTTAAACAGTTGTTTCTAAATCATCTGTTTTAAAATCAGTTGCAGCATTTGCGAGGGGCATGCCATCCGTGTCACCTGTAACCTTGGGAGTCTTTAGACTGGATTAGAAAGTCAGGGCCGGCACTCACCAGGCGTGTGCATAGGCTGTGCTTGGCGGTCGGAAAGGACCCGCACACTCCGCCTGTGCACGGGCTGGAAGGGAGCAGCTCTGAGCCGCCGCTGGGGAAGGCTGGCTGCCTCAGACAGGGACACGCCCTGCAGCCAAGGGGTGTTTCAGGGACTCCTGGCGCTCTGCAGGTGTTTGCCTCGCTCATTGCTACACCTATCAGGTGTCAGGGATCTGCAGCCAAAATCCAGGGGCAGGGCACCCTCATGCAGACTTGAGGGCATCCTCCAGGCTCTGGGTAACCTCCAGGCTCGAGTCAGGAGGCAGGGAACTGGGAGCTGCTGGTGGCAGCGGAGGACCTTGACTTCCAAAGCAGGCTCTCCCTATCACTTCACCTGGCGCCCTCTAATGGCTGCCTCCACCTCTGCCCTTAGGACCCCAACCAACTGATTCGCGCCAGTGCCCTCCGCGTCCTGTCCAGCATCCGCGTGCCCATCATCGTGCCCATCATGATGCTAGCCATCAAGGAGGCCGCCTCGGACATGTCCCCCTACGTGCGCAAAACCGCCGCCCACGCCATCCCCAAACTCTACAGGTAGCCCCGCCCAGCCCTGCTCCCGCCTCACCCCCACCCCCAACTCTACCAAGGGGGTGCCCAGCCCCCTTCAGGCACCAAGCCCATGTCTGTCCTCACCCCAGTCTGACAGAGATGGAAGAGAACAGAGGCGGGGTTTCGAGGGGGTGAGGGCGGGCAGGGGATGAACGTGGCTCGGGTTCGAGCGTGGGAGAGGGTGAATCCTCCCTCTGCGGGTTCTCCTGCAGTCTGGACTCGGATCAGAAGGATCAGCTGATAGAAGTCATTGAGAAGCTCCTGGCCGACAAGACCACGGTGCGTATGCAGCTGGGGAAGGGCGACGGTGCGCACCAGCCGAGGGGGGCACTGCCGTCCTTGCCTTGCTCACCGGCTTGGGTGCTGTCGTCCCCCAGCTGGTGGCAGGCAGCGTGGTGATGGCCTTCGAGGAGGTGTGCCCGGAGCGCATCGACCTGATCCACAAGAACTACCGCAAGCTCTGCAACCTGCTCATCGACGTGGAGGAGTGGGGCCAGGTGGTCATCATCAGCATGCTCACCCGCTATGCGCGCACGCAGTTCCTGAGCCCCACGCAGAACGTAAGTGGCTGCCGCCGCGGGCCAGGCACCGGGGCGCGCGCGGGCAGAGGGGTTCGGCGCCTGAGTCGCTGAGCCGCTGCCTCTGCGCCCCGCTCCAGGAATCCCTGCTGGAGGAGAACCCTGAGAAAGCCTTCTACGGCTCCGAGGAGGACGAGGCCAAGGGCCCCGGATCGGAGGAGGCGACCACCACCGCCGCCGCGGCGCTCCCGGCACGGAAGCCCTACGTCATGGACCCCGACCACCGGCTGCTGCTACGCAACACCAAGCCGCTGCTGCAGAGCCGCAGCGCCGCGGTGGTCATGGCCGTGGCGCAGCTCTACTTCCACCTGGCGCCCAAGGCCGAGGTGGGCGTCATCGCCAAGGCGCTCGTGCGTCTCCTTCGCAGCCACAGGTACTAGGCCGCCGCTCCCCGCTGCAGCCTTCCGGGGTCTATCCCAGCCCTTGCCTCGCTGCGGGCTGGCCTCACCCCCAACTCAGTTTCATACTGGCCCGGGCCCACCCACTCCATCCTGGGCTGTGTCGACCCGGTCCCAGACGGCCTCCTGACCCTCTCTTGCAAGCGCCCTACACTGAGCCCAGCCCCATCTCCCTCCTCACTCTCCTGCCTTCCCACGGGGTCTCCGTGTTTCTCTTTCTCTCATCTGCTTGGCAGTGAGGTGCAGTACGTGGTGCTCCAGAACGTGGCCACGATGTCCATCAAACGCCGGGTGAGCTGAGACAGCTGTTGGGGCTGGGGGAGGGGTGCAGGGGTGGCACCAGGGGAGACTGCTCTGGCTGTGTCTGGAGAGGGCAAGAGAAGGCCCCTCCCACACGTGGGCCCCCTGCGCCGGCTTGGGGTGGGCGGGAAAAGGCCACTGGTAGTGATGGAACATGTCTGACCTGAGATGGAGAAGGGAGGGCAGCAATGAAGTGGGAGCTGCCCCATCCCAGCTCTGGAGAGAAAAGGGGCTTGGGCTGGTGGTGGAGCTCCCTGGGCCCCCTTTCTTGTGCCAGGGCATGTTCGAGCCCTACCTGAAGAGCTTCTACATCAGGTCCACCGACCCTACCCAGATCAAGATCCTGAAGGTGAGTGACGGGTGGCAGGTTCCCAGCCCCATGTGCCCCCTCAGATAACGGCTGGGGTTACCCCGGAGCTGCTCCTGTGTGGGACTGAGCCCAGAGCTGCCCAGACTGGAGCCATTTGCCCATGGAGAAGAGAACTATCCTTTTGCTTGGCACCTGGTATGCGCCTGCCACTCTCACCTGTGAAATGCAGTGCCTCAGTTTGCTAAAACTGGCTCGGGAACGTGAGGCCCACCTCTGTGCTGACGCCTAGGCTTGGGCTTTGCCTCCTGCAGTCCTCTGTCCCCCTCTCCACCCCATACTAGCCCCCTTGGTGTTAGGGCCCCCATGCATCTTCCCCCCTCAGTCAGGAAGCCGAGTGGCAGGAGGAACCCATACCTCTGCCACCATATTCCTGGGAACCCCATACTACAAAACCTTGCTGGATCTAGAAGGGGTGGGGGAGGCAGCTAATCGCAGACAACTGTGAACACCTGTTTAGGAAGTAGAAGCGAAGAGACTGTGGCCTTGGGCATGAAGCTAGAGCCTGAGAAAGCAGCAGGACTCGCCTGTGGACAGAAATGGACACAGGCAGATAGTCGCTGCATGGAGCCCAATGCAGGCAAGGCTGCGTGGCTGGGGCTTAGTGGGCAGGGCCTGGAAAAGGACAGGCGGCCAGCAGCCAGGTCCTTCAGGGGTGGAGGAAGGTGACTGCCATGCTAAAGACGATGGGGCGCGTTCTCACTTGCGGTGGTCCTAGGACACAGATGCTATAGGCATGCTTTAAGGAAACCACTCAAAGAGGCAGCCTGCATTTTGGACAAAAAGTCAGGCTCTGCCAGTGTTCCCCTTATCACTCTGCGGGTTCAGCTGCAAGCACACCAGGGCCCGGCCACCTGCCCAGCTTCTGTGTCTCTGCCTCTCCCTGCAGCTGGAAGTGCTTACCAACCTGGCCAATGAGACCAACATCCCTACCGTCCTGCGGGAGTTCCAGGTACAGCCCAGGGGGTCCAGGGAAGGTGTTGGCTCAACTCTTGTCTTCAGAGCCCCAGGCTGCAGAAAGTTCCTACCTATGATAGCTCACTTTCTGCCTGTGTTGAGGACTATCTGCCTAGTGGCGTGGGGATTCTCTCCCTGTCCCAGCGGTGGGTCTCCGGCATCAGGAGTTCAGAGGCTTCCTAAGGGTCGCTTTGGAGGCTGCAGAACCACTGAGAGCTCACTGTCTGCTGGGGCTTACTCTGTCATGGTGTCTCCCCAGACCTACATTCGCAGCATGGACAAGGACTTTGTAGCTGCCACAATCCAGGCCATCGGACGCTGTGCGACAAACATAGGCCGAGTGCGTGACACCTGTCTCAACGGCCTGGTTCAGCTCCTGTCCAACCGTGACGGTCGGTGTCTGCCTGTCCGAGGGACTGTCCCCTGTCATGAGCGGGTGTCTGCCTGTCCAAGGGACTGCCCCCTGTGATCAGCAGGTGTCTGCCTGCGAGTCTTATTCTGTTGGCCCAGGGGTCTCCCACTGTATATCATGACAGTGCGTGTGCACTGGTTGGCTTGCTCTGCTTAAGGTCCAGGTTTTCCTACACCTCTTGAGGGTCACCAGCAAGGTGTTCAGGGTATTGAGCAAGAGAGCCTGTGGCCTGGGGATGTCTCCCACGCCTCCCCGCCTGGGTCTGGCCATCCGACTGTCGCTCCCATTGTACAGAGCTCGTGGTCGCAGAGTCGGTGGTTGTTATTAAGAAGCTACTGCAGATGCAGCCAGCACAGCACGGGGAGATCATCAAGCACCTGGCGAAGCTCACAGACAACATCCAGGTGAGTCAGCGGCCCCATTTCCCCTCCAACATCCTCCTTGTGATGTTGAAGAGCCTGTAATTGAATCGTAAACTTATCACAGTGGACTTCAAAACCCTGCACATCACATTGGCTTTGAAAGATCTTCAGGTGGAGCAAGGAGAGGGGCAGGCTAGACCACGTGACCTTGACTTTATTGCCCAGGATTTGCCTTCCCTGTGGGGATTCCTGGCTGAACCTCCTAGCCTTCACTCAGTCTCTCTCTCAAGCTCTGGCCAGAGGTGGCTGGGTGCTAAATCCTGCCTTTGTGCATTGCTGAGATGAAACCTGTCCATAGAGTGTTCCTGAAGATTGAGGCAGAAAAGTTAAGCAGTTAAGTACTGAGGGGACAGATCCAGACAATTCATTTTAAAATTTTTATTTTTGTTTTTATTGGAAAGGCAGACAGAGAGAAAGAGGAATCGTCTATCCACTGGTTCACTCCCTGCAAATGCCCACACATAGCTGGGGCTGGGCAGGCTGAAGCCTGAGACTTCATCTAGGTCTTCCACGAGGGTGGCAGAGCCCAAGTACTTGAGCTACTGCTTGCTGCCTCCAGGTTGCACGTTAACAAAAACTTGATGGGAAATGGAGAAGCTTGGGTCTTGAACCGGATACCACCCATATAGGATACAGGTGTCCCCAGTGATGATTTAACTGCTGCACCACACCTGACCCCAGTCTTTTGCACTGTGGCTGACTTTGGAGCTTCAGGGTTCTTCCCATGCTTGAGCAGAGATGCTGTCCAGGAAACGTCCTCCTTTTCATTTCTCCCCCACCACTTCCCACTCCTTTTCCGGAGAACCCATAACATCACAGACCCGCACAGACTGCCTGTAGAGCATACATGCTCCCATGCAGATCCCCTGCCTGCCTCAGTCCTGACTCCTCTCCCACACCCACAGGTGCCCATGGCCCGTGCCAGCATCCTGTGGCTCATTGGAGAGTACTGCGAGCATGTCCCCAAGATTGCACCGGACGTCCTGAGGAAAATGGCCAAGTCATTCACGGCAGAGGAGGACATCGTGAAGCTGCAGGTCATCAACCTGGCTGCCAAGCTCTACCTGACCAACTCCAAGCAGGTAAGGGCTGCTCCCCAGAAGTTGCCCAGGAGGCATTCTTATGGCGCACCCCTGGCAGCCGTGAGCCCTTTTCCAAATGTGTGGCATGACAGCTGATTCGTCTGCCCAAGAAACAGGTACTGCCCCTGTGCTTGGCTGTGCTGGGAGGACCGGTGCTGCTGAGCAGACTCTGCTCTAAGGCTGCCAGGCTAAAGGTGTAGACTGGCAGCACTTGGAGCACTGGGTCTGTGAAGAACTGTAGTTGACGGGGGCTGCAGAAGGGGCCAAAAGCACCGGGTACTGATGAGACAACATACCTTCCCAGGACATCTGGGCTGTACCACTTCCCACAGCTTGGTGATGCTTGGCCAGGTCATGCCAGGGCTAGGGGCAGGTCTCTAAAGGGGCATGGGTGGCTGGAGTAACTGCAGTGATAGGTTATGAGAGAGGCCACAGTCAAGGGGGAGGCTCAGGTCAGCTGGACGAGCAGAGTGTTAAACACCGCTTGGCTGTGCAGCATCCCCTGTGATTGTGGCAGGAGAGTCTTTGCACAGAGCTTTTCTAGGTCCTAGGGCCACTAGACTCCATGGCAGCTCCTACTCAGCTAAAGGAGCCAGGACTCAGCCAGCTGTGGCCTGCGGCCAGTTTGGTAATGCATTGCTACTAGCCACTGCGCAGCCTGTGGCTGCCCCTGTATTATAATGGCAGAGTTGGCCAGTTGTAGGAATATGTGTAGCCCTCTGCAGAGATGTCTGTCTGTTCTTGGAGCAAAGCCTCAGAATGGGACCAGAGTCAGCAGCAGGGCTGTACCCTGGAGCTCAGAGCATCTCTACCAGACTGGCAGGTGGTGGCAGACTTTCATGGTGGTAAGCATGGACCGCCAAAGTGCTGGGACTGTGACTGGGAGCTAGACAGGCCAGCAGCTACATGGAGGAGCAGCTGGGTATTGAGTGCGGGAGTCAGATATGTGGAGCGCAATGTTAGAGGGAACACTGGAGAAACTTTGCATCACTGGACAGACATTTGCATGCTTCCTGTGTTCAGGTGGCAGGAATGTTGGAAAGGTGACACAGCCCTGGTGGGGAGCCACTTGGGTGTGGGGAACATGACACACTCATGACTGAGCCTCAAGCCTGCTGGTGAGCTTGGCACATTTCCGTACAACCTGGCCCTGTGCACATGGCATCTCCCCAAGGAGGGGCATCAGGATGCCACCACTGTTGGCCACCTGTGCTTTGGCCAGAAAGTCGGCTGTTTACCCAACACCAAGCTGTGTCCTGCAGATTGGACAGGAGCCCATGTGTGCGTTGCCAAGTAAGAGACAGCACAGCGGTGCACATTATAACCACAGAGCTGTGGGTGCATCTGTGAGTGAACCACTCTCCCAAGTAGGATGCACGGAGTCCCAGTCTCCACCAGAGGGCCCAGGATGTGAGTGCACAGGCAGATGGACTCGGGCATGCAGGCCACACTTTGGGTCTCTGATGACACAGGCCTTAGAATGATTCCATGATTAATAAAAGGAACTTTGGTCCCCCTTCCCCCACCAATGTTTTTCTCTGTCCTTTCTTCTGAGCCTGTTGCAGGGGAGGTGGAGAAAAGGGGGGGGGATCCTTGAGGATGAGAAGGGAGGGGTGTGTGTGTGTGTGTGTACATGTGTCACTTGGCAAAGCAATAGTGATACTTTGGGCAGAGGTGGGTCTTGGCTCACCCACCTTCATGAGGCAGGGGTTGATGGGAATTCCACCCACTGCATCCTTCATGAACTTGTGTGGCATGAGGTGAGGATGGATTGTCATTGTATGCAGTCATGGGTCTCCCCTGCCTGATTGAGCAGGTGGCTAGTAGCAGGTGCATTGACAGACTGTGGAGGGGGATTTAGCACTCACCCCTCTAGTCTTCCATGGCAGCTGGAGTCTGTTGGTCAGCCTGCCTGTCCCTTGGGGCTCACCAGGGCAGCCTTGTAATTCCTTCACATCTTGCCTGGCTGAGGTGGGAGGATCCTGGGAGTACAGACTGGAAGCTGTCATCCCTGGGGGCATGGTGGCTTTGGGTGGGGGCCAGTGCATCATTGCAGATGATGCTGCGGTATTGAGGTGGTGGACCGGCTCCTTGCTGTGTGATTGCTGATACACAGTTGTGGCTAGGGACAGGTGGGTCTGAACTCTGCAGAGTTCTTTCTAGCATCAGGTGAGGTTGTGAGGAAGAAGCCTGGAGGAAGGACTGTGCCCTAACCCATAAAGGGGCTCAGTGGCATCTTGCTTCTAGGCCTTGTCCATAAGGGTGTTCCCAAGGTCATGTCTGGCCACAGGAGGGTCACATCTCTGTCTCAGTGGCATCCTATCTTCAAGGTCTTAAGTCTATTGTATTATGGAATGTGAACTTAGAAACACTGAACTGTGATGCTGTCTGCAGGAAGGCACTGAGTTCAACTAGGGTGGTGAGGTCACTGAAGTCCCTGACAGGAGCATGGTCAGCATGGCATAGGGCAGCCCTGCCACAGCAGCTGCTTTGATGCTGGGCCAGCTACGTCCACAGCTTGAAATGACCCTGTCACCCTGAACCCTGAGAATCTCAGGGTGGGCTCCAGGCTCCCTTCTGCTGGTACCTGCTGTCCTTGTCTTGGGGCACTCTGGCTGTTGAGCACTTGCTGGTCATGGTCATGACAGATGGATACCTGGAGAGCTAGGCCAGGGCATCCCCCTGAGGTCAACAGGTGTGAGCCCACACCAGGTCTGGAGGGAGCCCCCGTGGGTCTCTCCACCTGGCCTGAGAGAGGTCCCTTAGTGACTGCTTCTCTGTAAGAAGAGGGAGTAATAACAGCCCCTCTACCCCCACCTATACAGAGAGTGCAGGTCTGGAAGGCCAGGTGTGACCCCACACACAGCTTTGAGCCAGAGGGCTGGCAGATGTTGGCCACTGCCGCTGAGGCCTCATGCAGGCAGGCTCAGCCTGGAGGTAGGAGAGCAGAGAGAAGGGCCTCAAGTCAGCCCTGCTAGACCTGGGCCAGCCCAGGGCAACTGCCACTTGGTTTGATCTCACTAAAATCTCCTGAGGCCCTCAGACCCCTCAGAGCCTACTGAGCGGGCAGCAGGGTCGCCCCCCTATCCCACCCCCAACCTACCCCAATGGTGAGTCTGGAGGCCATGAGGGCTAGCAGAAGCTTGGCTGGACCTGGGACTGTGGAGGCCACAAACTCAAGGGAAGGTAGAATCAGAGGCAGGTGAGTCCACAAGGACTAAGCAGCCTCCTCCTGCCAGGGCTGAGTAAGGGGCCAGAGAGGAGAAGAGGAGGAGGAAGAGGAGTGGAGCTAAGAGATGCAGGGGCCCATGGGAGGGGAGAGCCCTGGCCTGGAAGGAGCGGGTGCACACAGCCACCACCTGTGCCCCACCCCCTCGGCTGGCTGCCCACCGACCCACCTCTCTTTCTTCCCCCAGACCAAGCTGCTGACCCAGTACGTGCTGAGCCTGGCCAAGTACGACCAGAACTATGACATCCGTGACCGGGCGCGCTTCACCCGGCAGCTCATTGTCCCCTCGGAGCAGGGTGGGGTCCTCAGCCGCCACGCCAAGAAGCTCTTCCTGGCTCCTAAGCCAGCCCCGGTCTTGGAGTCATCTTTCAAAGGTGGGAGCCAAGGTCAAAGGTAAACCCTCAGCCCCTCTCTCCCTAGACCCCAGCCTCAGGTGGGCATCAGGCTCCTGCAGACAGAACTTCTGGAGCAAAGCCAGCCCTGACTGCTGACTCAGGCCTCTTTCCCTTCCTGCAGGCCTCAAGTCCTATCCACTCATACCTGCCACCTCCCCTGGGTGTCTGCCCTTGCTGTCTGAGTGGCAGCCAGCTTCCCTCCTTTGCCTGGGCTCCCTGTCACAGGGCTTTTTCTGAGCAGATGCTCAGAAATCTTGGGAATCTTGATCAGGATTTTATATACCAGGAACCCAGAAAGGCAGGAAGTGAAAAGACTCCCAGAGGGGAGGTGTTGACTTAGAAAGGCTCGGAATGTGGCTACTGGCACCCTGCAGGCTATGTCTTTTTTGGTGTAATCTGGGCTCAATCCCCCTGGCTTGGCCTGTCTTGGTGGGGGAGGGTCTCCCAGCTGGCTCTTTGCAGGCAGGGCAGCCTCCTCCACAAAGCCCAGTTCTCCCAGGTGTCTTCATTCTTCTCTTTCCTGGACTCTGGAATAGGAAGATTTACAGATAGGGACCACCTAGACAGTCTCCTCTTGCTCGGAGCTGGCCCAGCAGCCCCTGCCTCCCTGTCACCACCCTTCTTCTCCCTCCCAGTGGTGCTGCGAACCCCACAGCCCTGGAAGGAAAGCCACACACCCTCTTCTGCCCCATTCGCCCCTGCAGGCCCACCATTCCTGCCTCTCAGCCCCTGCCCTGGCCAGCCCCCTTTCTTTCCAGCATGTAGCCTGCAGGTGCAGCCCAGGTGAGAGAGCCACTGGGGCACCTCCAAGTCCTGGCCCTGCCCTGATAGGGAATCCACCCAGGATCACCCCAGAGCCCACCTACTGACCTGACCTCTAGCCCTGTCCCCAGACCGAGACCACTTCCAGCTGGGCTCCCTATCCCATCTGCTCAATGCCAAGGCCACGGGCTACCAGGAACTGCCAGACTGGCCACAGGAAGCTCCAGACCCATCTGTGCGGAACGTGGAGGTCAGTGGGTAGAGGGTTGCCCTCTGTGGGTGCAGGAGGGAGGGGTGGAGGGGCATAGAGAGCTAAGGGCCCTGGAAGTGCCAGTCCAGCACTGCCAATGCCCTCCCCAACACAGGAAGAAGACCTGTCCCCTCCCGAGACCCGCGTGGGCTTGTTGGGCGGATACACTGAGGTCCCCTCTGTGTGCCGTGTCCTCTGCCACCCTACCCCGTGTGCTCCCCGTCTCCATGCCTTCCCTTGCTCAGTTCCTCCTTGGTGTGTGAGAGGCACCCCCCCCCCCAGAGAGTTCCCCTTCTATCTCGCCATCCTCCATTGTTCTCTTGGGATGGGAACAGCTAGAGCCCCAGAAGAGGTGAACTTTCCTTCTTCCCCCCGTCCATCCATGATGATCAGCTGCACCATACCCTGCTCCCCATTCCTACTCCCATCTGCAGGTGCCTGAGTGGACCAAGTGCTCAAATCGGGACAAGAGGAAGGAGAAGGAAAAACCTTTCTACTCAGACTCGGAGGGCGAGTCTGGGCCCACGGAGTCTGCAGACAGCGGTGAGATGAGCAGAGCTGGGCCCCCTGTGCTCCCTGGCCACACGTGCACATGTAGGAGGGGGTGTGCATGTGTGTGGCTCTGTGTGTGCACACGCATACACACAGGTGACTGTTCACATGGGCCAGCCCCTGCCTGCTTGCGTGGCGGTTCTAGTTGGCATCTGGGACCAGGGTCAGGTCCTGAGGGAGGGTGAGGCTTCCAAGTTGAATCAGAAGTCGGGTCCTGAGATGCCCACTCCAGACCCACAGGGCTGGCTATGAGGGAAGGAGCCCTGACTGATGCGGTGCCTTCCCAGAGCCTGCATCTGAGAGTGAGTCAGACAGTAAGAGCAGCAGCGAGAGCGGCTCAGGGGAATCCAGCAGCGAGTCTGATAACGAAGACCAGGAGGAAGAGGAGGAGAAAGGCAGAGGCAGTGAGAGGTAAGAGGAGGGCTGGCCAAGCAGATTGTGGGGCACAGGGATCTCTGCCCAGGGGCCCAGGCCATCGGAGCCAGTGAGTTGCTCACACTGTAGGACTGGTACATATACCAGTTGGTTCCCATGAGTCTCGCTCTGGTTAGGCGCACATGGGGTGGCATGGAGAAGCAGTCCTGGCCTGGCATGAGCTGGTTTAAAGCTCTCCCTGGGACTCAGCTGGGGAGCCCCTTGTGAACTCTACCACCAGGGCTGCCTACCCTGGCCCCCATTTTCAGCCAGGTGGAGAGGGGGTTCTGGCCAGGGCTGAGCTCTGATTTCTTGCTCTGCAGTGAGCAGAGTGAGGAGGAAGGGGAGAAGAGGAAAATGAAGAAGAAACAGAAGGTGCCAGAGGACCAAGGAGATGGCTCCTCCTCGGACGAGGGCAGCGAGTCCAGCAGCAGCTCCTCGGGCTCCGAGGAGACATCCGAGTCTGAGGAGGAGCAGCAAGCAGAACCTGCCTCCTGGAAGCGGAAGCCGGTGAGGAGTGAGGGGCTTGCAGGCCAGGGCCCTGCCTGCCTGGACACCCTGCCTCTAGCTGGAGCAGGCTGCAGCATGATCTTCCTGGGGCTCCACCTACCTGTACCCATGTCCAATGTTTTTTTACAGCCTCCTACCAGCAAAAGCGTCCTGGCAGCCAAGGAGATCTCCTTGCTGGACCTGGAGGACTGTGAGTGGGAGAGACCAGAATCACAGGGGGACTCTGTGAGGGAAGTGGCCCCAGGGGGTATGTGGCTTACACTCAGGCTGGGTTGGGGTCTCCTGTTGGGCTCCAGGGTGGGTGTTTTGCTCAAAGCCTGCAGCCACCATTGCCCCACTGTCCGTGGTGCTGAACTACTTTCTCCTGGCGCCCAGGGCTCCCTGCTGAACCCCAGCCAGTGTACCCAAGTCTCACCCTGGTCTTTCTCATCTACTCCCACAGTTCCCTCTCCCAGCATCCAGCCCGTGTCACCTCCCACGGTTCTGTCCACGAGTCTCGCTGCTGACCTAGAGGGCCTGACACTCACAGATACCTCCCTGGTGCCCTCGGTGAGTAGGCTGGGGCAAGGAGTGCATCTCCACACTGTGTCTCCCATGTGAGTCTCAGCTGTGGAGTGGACAGGTGCTCTGGGACCTGGGGACAGCCAGAGTGGGGCAGGCTTTTTCCTCCTTGCTCATGGCCGTGCTCCCCTCTCTTGCTCCAGCTGTTGAGCCCAGTGTCTGGCGTCCGGAGGCAGGAGCTGCTGCACCGGGTTGCTGGCGAGGGGCTGGCCGTGGATTACGCCTTCAGTCGCCAGCCTTTCCCCAGCGACCCCCACATGGTGTCCATCCACATCTACTTCTCCAACAGCTCAGATACACCCATCAAGGGCCTGCACGTCGGCACCCCTAAGCTGCCTGCTGGCCTCAGCATCCAAGAATTTTCTGAAATCGGTAAGAGAGGAGTCAGACCCAGGAGAGGAGAAACATGAGGAAATTGTTGGTGACAGAATCGGTCCTTCTATGGCTGCTGATACTCTGTGTGTGCCAGGTTGTATGGGGAGCAAACAGCACCTGGCATGACCCCTGCCCTAGTGGGCAGGACAGACAAGGGGCTGAGCAGCTTCCTATGCAGGTTGCTGACACCTTGGCCTTGGTTATGATGTAAATGAAGTGAGGGAGGGTAAAGGAAAGGGTTTGGATTCCTGCGGGAGCCCAGGAACAGTGTCCAGGGCCCAGGGAGGCCAGGTTCTGTAGAGTGCTGATCAGCTGGGGTTGGGTGGGAGGAGGGATAAGGCTAGCCTGGGCTCCTGACCATGGGGTGACAGGGCCTTACAGGGCCTTCCCCTTTGCCTGTTTTCCACCACTTCAGAGTCTCTGGCTCCTGGAGAGACTGCCACTGCTGTAATGGGCATCAATTTCTGTGACTCAACCCAGGCAGCCAACTTCCAGCTGTGGTATGAAGTCCCACTGTGTGTGGGTGTGGGTGGGGTGGCAGGGTGCAGAGAGCCAGAGCTGGAGGTGATAGGTGGTGGGAGGGACTCCAACATGAAACGGGGCCGGGGGGGGGGGGGGTTAGATCTGGGAGCTGCGTCCTCAAGGCTGTGGGGCCGTCCTCACCCTCCTGGTGCCTTGAGCCCCAGGGGCAGTGAGGACCCAGGTGACAGCCTCACTTCCTCCTCCCCTGCCTTTTCACTCACCTGCCCTAGCACCCACACCCGCCAGTTCTACGTCTCCATTCAGCCGCCTGTCGGTGAGCTGATGGCTCCCGTGTTTATGAGCGAGAATGAGTTCAAGAAGGAGCAGGGTGAGTTGCTCCCTGGGGCTGCAGGGAGGGGCTTTGCCCCAAGGGCTGTGTTGCTGAAGCTCCACCTTGTCACATGGGAGGGACCTTCCCCTGCCTGCTCCCCAACAGAGCGAGGCCCAGGATTTGTAACTCCAGTAAGGACTTGGTAGACAGAGACTGGGAGTGAGAGTGCATGAGAGGAGCTGAGTCCCTGTCACCAGGCTGGGTGTGGGAGGGGCTGGTCAAAGTAAACCTGGAAACGGTTGTGTGCACTGTATTTTCTGGGAGCCCTGAGTTTATATGTTGCAGCCCAGCACTGTCAGAACTGGAAGGGGACCCAGAGATTACAGCGGTCTCAGTCTGTGGGTTCAGTGTACTCTTGAAAAAACATGATGCAGGCACTGGACCCATACAGCTTTGTTCTTGCTATTCCCTAAATGCCACAGCAGAACTGCCTCCATGGGGTTCCCATGGTGTCCTGTGCCATTAGGCATCTGGAGGTGATCCCAGGTCGGAGGGAAGATGTGGAGAGTTCGTAGGCCAACACCAGGCCATTCTGTGTCAGAAACGTGTGGATGTGCAGATGGGTGCGTCCTCAGGGTGGGAGCAACACCCAGAAGGCACTGCAGGATGGCTGTGTCGGGTCCAGCGCTTACAGAGATGAGGACCGTGGCCTTCATTCTCCAACAAATGGAGGAGTCATTGGAGGTTTCGGAGAAGGAAGTGGCAGGTTGACATCTTGGTATCCAGTCACACTCAAGGCTTGTGTGGGGAGGGCCTAAAACAGCCCAGGGGCCATGCAGCAGGAAGAATCTTCCGAGCTTTTGAATCTGGGTGTTAAATTTGAATTGGCTCTTCATTTGCTATGTGACTGCGGGCTGCCTGCTGTGACTTGCTCACTAGATAAGGCTGTGGTGCACTAGGTCAGGTGAGAAATGTGAGGTCCAGGATCCAGAGCCATGGCAAAGAGAAAGGGGGAGGGTGGACAGGGTGGTACTGAGGGGCAGCCAGGGGAAGTCCATAAGCTGACTTTAGAATTTCCAGCTTAGATGGCTAGGGAGATGGGAGAGTGGGCTATAATCCCAAATGTTGAAAAGACCCAATGGTGAAATGTCCTAAAGATCAAAATCCCAGAAATGTAATTCTGGAAAGAGTAATTCAAAGAAATTCTTCATACGGCAGTTACATTTGAAAGGGGATTTATTTGAGTAATATTCTAAAACACAATAAAGCACGTCATGGGCCATCTGACCCAACATGACAGGCCACACACATGTTGGCAAGCATACATGATCGAGTGTGCTGACTGTTCTTGTCCACGTTGCTGAAGGTTACAAGTCAGAATCACTAAATGCATCAGGGTGTCCCTGCAGTGGGGGGACAGCAGGTACCCACATTGTAGCTGTGGTCACCCAAGCTCTCTTCATGGGGCTTTAAATGAGATCAGTCAGAAACCACGACTAGTCCCCACCTCTTCCACAGCCACCCAGGGAGCAGAGATGTCGAGAAATTCTTTAAGAAGTGATTTTACTTGAAAGGCAGAGGTAGGGAGATACGAAGAGGAGATCTTCCATCTGCTGGTTTATACCCCAAAGGGCTACAGTGACCGGGGCCAGGTCAGTCCAAAACAGGGACCAAGGAACTCCATGCAGGTCCTCCTGCATGGGAAGTAGAGCAGTTAGAGCGTAAAGCAGTGCCCCTCTGGGATGCCGGTGCTGCAGTTGGCAGCTTTATTGGCTACACCACAATACCAGCCCCTTCTTCAGCTTCTTGTTTTAAACCCAAAAAATGGTATCATAGCATTTGGAAATGTGCCCCTTAAGGACTGTATCTTTTGGGATGACGGTGTGCCCTGCATCTAGACCAGGGTGGTACTCTTCCTTTGACGTGCTGTGACATCAGCATTGTAAGACTTTGAGAAACATTATTCTCTGGAGTATTTACGGCTCTTCTGTCCTAAAGGAGAACTGGTCCTCGATCCTAAGACAAGGGGAGGGGCTGCATGTCAACCAAACTTTACTTGCAGACACTGACATTTAAATCTCCCCAAATTTTTCATGATCATGAAATATTTTAATTTTCCCTCCAATACTTAAAAAAATGTAAAAAAAAAAAATCATAGGCCAATTATAGGCCACATGGGGGAAGAGCTAAAGGAGTTCATGAAAAACAGCTCAGGCAAACTTCATGTAACAGTGAGTTCATGGTTATTTTGGGGAGGAGGACGTCCGTGCATATTATAGGACTGGCCTGCAGGGCTGTAATTTGCCAAGCCCCCTAATGTGGAAGAACAAACTTGGGCAAGGTGGAAGGCTGAGCTTCCTGGGGAAGAGGGGTGGGGAATACAGAGGGCAAGGGCTTCTAGAACCTTGCTGAAAGCCTGCCTTCCACAAAAGGAGAGGTGGAGGACAGGGGCCGGGGTAGGGGGCCAGATCTGTCTTTGAGGTGGATGGCTTAGTGGTGGGTGGGACAGGACTGACTGGGCTCCCTGAGGGTGTACCAGGACTACTGCTTGGCATTTTTGCCTGCCCCCATCACGAGACCTCTGCCCCTAGGAAAGCTGACGGGCATGAATGAGATCTCCGAGAAACTCACGCTACCTGAGGCCTGCCGGAGCGACCACGTTGTAGTGCAGAAAGTGACGGCCACTGCCAACCTGGGTCGAGTCCCTTGTGGGGCAGCGGATGAGTACAGGTGCGGGAACCTGTCAGACAGGAGGACGTGGATGCTGGGGGTCCTGTCGGCAGAGCTGAGCCCCTTCCTCACAGAGTAACCCTTTCCCCTCCTCCCGGGCTAGGTTTGCAGGAAAGACGCTGACCAGCGGCAGTCTGGTCCTGCTGACCCTGGATGCCCGGCCAGCCGGAGCCGCCCAGCTGACTGTGCACAGCGAGAAGATGGTAATTGGTACCATGCTGGTAAAGGACGTGGTGCAGGCCTTGAGCCGGTAACTGCCCAGGCTGGACCTCTCAGGCCCTGCCTCCCCTCCTGGGCATGCTGGGCTGTTGGTCTCTGGTTCCACCCTCCCTCAGCTCCCATGCCATGTGGCATCCAGGGATCCCCTCTCCCTCTGACTGCTCCCAGCCTCTCCCCCTCCTCATGGGTTCCATAGTGACCTTGCAGCCCTCAGGCTCCCAATAGCTGTGTATGTAGCAGAGTCTGAATAAAGCATTGTCTCACACACACTGGCTCACCTCTCTGTCAGAGCTTTCAGGGAGAGCTAAGGGTGGCACAGGGTAGACTTTGTCACCTGACAACAAAGCTGAGACTGATTGGGTCCCCACGGTGACCGCAGGATGTCTGGGAGTTGGGAAGGGACACCATCGGGGGCAAGGAACGGGAATCCAAACCGGAAGGACTCCCCCACCCTCCGTGAGCAAGTCCACTGTTCAGGGGCTCACAGCCCCTCTGGGGTCCCCCTTGTGGGCCCTTGGGAAGAAAGGACCCATAGTAGGGGGACATCCCCCCAAACAGGGGCATCTGAAAGTATAGCCTGGGACCACAGCTGGCTGGGTACATGGCCCAGCTCCACCAGCCAGCCACTTAGGTGGCAGTCCCCTGGTTGTGAGCAGCAAGTCTAGGGCCACCTGAGGCTCCACATCTGATTAGGTCCCAGCAGGCAGTGCTGCTGCTTAAAGAAAACACCCGAGTTGTGAGAATCAGTGCCCGACATACCTGGCAGGTATGGTGAGGGGTGGACCCCCGACCCCACCCTCTGCTGCTACTGTGACTGATAAGGAAAGAGGCAACCTGACTGGTGGTTTGGGAAGGTGAAAGGGGCTCCAGCAGCATGTGTCCTGTCCCTCCCGCTCCCCCCAATTCCAAGAACAGAAAAACAATCTATGATCCAATTAATTGAGCCTCATGGGTTTAAGTGAAATCAGTTTTATTTCCCGCAGGCCTTCTTAGAGTCTTGGCTAGGCTAGTGCGTACGCTGCTCCCCAGGGCAGGGCCTTGAGTTTGCAGTGTTAGCCACCAAGCGTGGCTTTCACCTTGGAATGATTTTCCCATGGAACATCATGCTGACCTGGGTTACGAGGAATACCCTCAGCTGTCAGCCCAGCCACTTTGGCTTCCTGGAGCCAGGGAGAAGCCAGCGCGACCCTCCTCACAGGAAAAGCAGAACCAAGGCGGGGCCGTGGGACGGCCCTGCTCCTGCTGGCTCCTGGGATCTGGCTGTGCTTGGTGGCACCAGAGAGCAGCTGGTGCTGTCACTTCCCTCAGGGCTTTAGGGCCAAGCATCTCCAGTAGTGGTGCTGCGGGGGGACACTAGTGGATTTCTTATTTTTGTAGCTCCCCCCAATACCCAAATCGGTGATGCGCAACAGCGAGGAGGAGGAGGAGGAGGAGGATTGACAGGGGGGAGGGGTGTTTGTCTAAGAAATTTGAATAAGGACTATCTGAGAATTCCCTACAGGCCTTTCTCCTGCATCAGAGCCCCCAGAGTGGATATAGCAGGAAGCAAAATGCAGAAAGAAAGTCCCAGAACATTCCTCGGGGTGCTCATAGCCTGGGTTTCCCTAGGGACAGGACTGCAGCCCCAGGGGCAAGCGTGCAGAGATGGATCCTGGGCCTTGGTCCTGTGCTGGATTCTCTGCACGTGCCCCAGGCTCTGGGATTGACAAGAGCAACCCTTCCTAAGTAAGTGACCTGTGGGGGAGTCAGGAGAGCAAGACTCCGCTGGTCAGATGGACACTCTGTGTTGGCAGGGCTTGGCAGGTTGCAGAGCCGCTCACCCAGCCAGGAGCAGTTTGGGGCTCTTGGCATGGCACAGGTTGGGGACAGAGGCCACTCCAACTCCCACCCAGGTCCAGCCCATCTCTTCTAAGTCACTCCCATAGGGCAGTCACCCCAGGGACCTGCCACACCAGCTTCCTTGAGTGTCTGTGAACCCAACTCAGTGCATGCTGAAGAAGCAGATCAGACCTTTCCCCCACAGTTTTGCTTTCCAGCCCTCAGTGTCTCCTGTGCATTGATAGGGCCCTGGGCCTTAGGGGCACGGTCATGGACAGCTTGGACTTGAGCTGGCAAGGGGCCAGGCCTGCCATGAGCAGTATCACTGGGCAGGTAGCAGGGAGCTGTAGGACATTGGTGGCACCTGGGACCACAGGGCAGACTGGGAAAAGTCAGCTGTAGGACCCTAAGGAAGGGCTGTGGCTGGGGAATGCAAGTGTGATGGGAGCACAAAAACTGAAGGCAGAAAGTGCCCCAGCAAAGGTTGGGCAGAGCTGGCATCAGTGAGAATCCGGGAGGGAGAACCAGGCACAGGCCTCTGTGCCAGGAAGACAGCCCAGGGCAGGGCACAGAACTGGATGATGGGTGAGAGAAATGGCTCTTGCTCCTAGCTGGGTTACAGCACCCTGGAGAATGGGTCTGTTTAGACACGTGAAGGAGCCACGCAGAGACCCCAGAGGTAGAGTGTTAGCTGCAGGTATGATTGAACCCCCACCAGCCACAGGGCTAATGCAGAACATCCAGCAGGGTAGCCTCCAGATGTCAGGACTGGGTATTAAGTGGGTGATGGGACTTGCCCTGGCCTGGCTGGGAAAGGAAAGCAAGAGTAGGGAGAAGGGCCTGGCACAGTAGTCTAGCAGCTAAAGTTCTCACCTTGCACGCAGGGATCCCATATGAGCACTGGTTCTAATCCCAGCAGCCCTGCTTCCTGTCCAGCTCCCTGCTTGTGGTGTGGGAAAGCAGTTGAGGACAGCCCAAAGCCTTGGGACCCTGCACCTGTGTGGGAGACCTGGAAGAAGCTCCTGGCTTCAGATCAGATCAGCTGAGGCTGTGTGGCTGCTTGGGGAGTGAATCATTGGACTGAAGATCTTCCTGTCAATCTGTCTTTCCAATAAAAAATAAATAAATCTTAAAAAAAATTGTAGGGAGACTGTCCCACCCAAGAGCCTGGTCCTTGGGCACTTCTAGTGTTCTTGTTGCACCAATGCAACAAGAAGGAATACCAGCCTGGCTTAGGCTCCTTTGTCTTCTGCTAGGCATTGACTGAACAGCCATCTTGTGTTGCTGCTGTGGTCCCACCCTGGAGGCAGCGAGTGCTGGCTCACATACTTGGGTCCCTGCCATTTGTGTGGGAGACCCAGAGCAAGGACCCAGCTCCTGGCTTTGACCTAGCCCATCCTCGGCCGTCTGGGGAGTGGACCAGCACAGGGAAGATCTCTGTCCATCCTGCCTTTCAAATAAATAGGAGAGCCACCAGACAGACACATATGCTCCCATCTCTTGATGTGTGTCTCGGGATTCTGCCAGCAGGAGAGCTATCGCCAGATGAGGCCTCTGGGCTTTGCCCTCCCCCAGGTGTGAAGCCAGACAGCCTTTAGAAAGCAGGCTGCTTCGGAAATTTCATTTTGGTAACAGACTCGGGCACATTCCTTGCTTCCTGGAAGGCACTGGACCATGGGCTGGCAGTGGTGTAGCGAAGACACTTCCTTTCCATCCAGGCCTAGATACACAATGGTCCTTTGGGAAGTCTTTGGGACTTCTTTTTTTTAAAGCCTTGGGCCTGGCGTGGTAACCTAATGGCTAAAGTCCTCGCCTTGAACACACCAGGATCCCACATCGCTGCCGATTCTGATCCCTGCAGCCCTGCTTCCCATCTAGCTCCCTACTTGTGGCCTGGAAAAGCAGTGGAGGATGGCCCAAAGCCTTGGGACCCTGTACCTGCGTGGGAGACCCGGAAGAGGCTTCTAGCTCCTGGCTTTGGATTGGCACAGCACTGGCCGTCGTGGCCCCTTGGGGAGTGAATCATCGGATGGAAGATCTCCCTGTCTCTCCTCCTCTCTACATATCTGAGGTATAAAATCTTTTAAAAAGTTTTAAATGTTAGCACTTACAACTTATACATAAACTTATAAATATTTAAGTACCACATTTCCAGAGAAAATTGTACCGATCACCGGTGATCTACCTGATGACAGTCTGTAGGAGTGAAAAGCCCTTGCACGTGGCCTCCAAGTCCCTGCCGCAGTACAAGGGTCCACCTGCCACAGGTCCCCTTCCAGCATGGGTATTGCTGTTGAACTTGGCTCAGAGATGACTGAACTCTAAGACCCTTCAGGACCATCCTCTGAAGGGCAGTGGGATCCCAGAAAGGCTAAAATGGACCCGTATGTGGCAATGCTGCCCCCTACCCCCTGCCCCAGGGGCCACTAGGAACCTATCACCCACAACTGCTCCGGCAGAGACAGGTGCGTGGGAGTGAAGTGGGCTGTCTTCTCGTTTGGGTGGGGCACAGGCTGCACACACAGCTCTGGGATGGGAACCTTGAACCAGTCCTTGATATGCCGAGACCCCAGCACTTACACCTGCAGCAGGAAGTTAAGAGAAAGGGAAGGTTGGTGCTTGGGGACCAGACAACACTGAAAACTTGGTCTCTTGACCCTCCGGCCAGCAAGAACTTCACATTCTCTAAAAGTCCCTGCATGTCTCCATTTCTTCAGCTATGCAACAACGGGCTGGCCTTTCAGGTTCCACCTCTCTGGGCACCCATCAATCCACCTGCACCCATCAGTCTATCTAAAAACACCCATCCTTCCCTTGGGACCATCACCGGCAGAGCAGCCAGACTTCTGGGCTGCCCTCACTACCCCTACCCCATGCATTCTTGCTCCATTCCCTCTCACATCTTAGCAAGGCTGGTGTATGAACAACAGGATATGAACGAGTGCTGGTCACTGCCAAGCTAGAGTACCAGGACCATCCCAACTCCATTTGGGCTCTCTTATTCCTTGCTCTAGAGAAACCCAGCTGGCACATAATTGGGCTCGCTGGGAAGCAGATCTAGCCTTGGGCTGATGGCTACATGAGTCAGAGCTGGCCTGGCTGGCAAGGCCATTCTCAGATCCCTGAAAAATTGTGTGAGATTTTTAAAAAAGTGCTTTAAGCCGCTTGGTTTTGGAGGGAACAGTGGTGAAAGAGCAATGCAATCTTTATAATCCAGCCTTTGACTCTGCTCCAAGGGTGCTGGAGGAGTGTTCTGAGGCTGCCTGGGTGCCCAGGCCTGACCTTGGGAGCGCATGCCTGCGGGGCATGCTAGAGCTGGCTGGGCTACTCATGAGGCAGCTGTTATTACACTTTCAGGAATTTTTGGAACCAGAGTATGTCACATGGGCAGTTTGAAATTTGCCACAGTGGTAGTGTTGACATCTGCATGGTAAGAGGATGCCATAGATCA